AACTGAGGGTTTTCACCAGGACTGACATGAAAGTCAGTATCTTCCCTTTAAATAAAACCAAAACCAAAACAGTGCAGTTCAGTGTTTGCCTGTACAAAGGCTGTTCCCTTTGCAGTGTTCATGGAAACCTTTTGTTTTCTGACATGCAAGCAGAGCTGCTCAATGAGTCATGAGGTTAACTGGGTTGGTTCCTGGGAATATTTTTTTTCCTTTTTTTTCACTTTACAGCAGAAAACTTTGATACATAAATTGAAATTTCCTGTATGAAGAACTACTAGTTTTCTTTGTTTTACTCAAGCATTTGCTTGGGGCCTAGAAGAAAGCTGAAGGACTTTTTACAAGGGCTTGTAGTGATAGGACGAGGGGTAATGGCCTCCAACTGGAAGAGGGGAGATTTAGATTAGAAATGAGGAAGAAGTTCTTCCCTGTGAGGGTGGTGAGACCCTGGCCCAGGTTGCCCAGGGAAGCTGTGGATGCTCCATCCCTGGAGGTGTTCAAGGCCAGGCTGGATGGGGCTCTGAGCAACGTGGTCCAGTAGGAAGCATCCCTGCCCATGGCAGTGGTCTGGAACTCGATGTTCTTTAAAGCCACTCCAACCCAAACCTTTCTGTGCTTGTGTCTGTAGCACTGGCATAAATAAATGCACAATCTCTGCAGAGCAGCACCCAGCTGGTGCCCCATGTCCCATTTCCCCAGCACGGTTCCCAGTCAGGCATGCCGGGGCGTTCAGAGCCTGGCTGTGGGTGTTTGTCCCAGCTGAGGTGGCTGGCAGGTCACAGGCTCAGGCTGCAGTGGCCCCTCCTCGGAATGCTGGGCCCTTCAGTGTTGCTGCTCTCCTGGTTTCTCCACTTTTCCCCTCTGCTGCTAACCCCTACCCCTCCTGCTCCACCTCTCTTGTGGGTGCAGGTTTCAGAAGTCACTGAGGCTTCACGTGTCTCTACTTTTGTCTTCTGCTTAGGGTGCAGATAACTGATAACTTGGGGTAATAATGTTTCATCTTTAATTTTTCTTGTTAAACACTTTGACTAATCAAACCAGAGCTAGGGTCCTGTTCTTTCTGCTGTGGCTGGACTTGATGATCCTTGAGGTCTTTTCCAACCTAGAGGATTCTATGATTCTGTGATTTGAACGTGTGTTCTCTCTCAGCCTTCCCTTTCCCTCATGGCGTAGTGTAAATAATTGTCCAGTTTTTGATTAAAAGCAGTTGCTCATTCCATAATGAGTTTCAAGGAATTGCTGGTTGAAAGTTTCCAAATGTTTGTACTTGGAATTCCAATGAGCAAAGCTTTCCAGAGTGAATGGAGATGAGAGATGCCAAAGGCTCGATGGCTCAGTTTAAGGCTGTGCTCTCCTAACCTGCTTTGGAAATCAAATTCTGGTAGTATCTGAGCATCACATCCATGGGTTTGGTTTCTCAAAACCTCTAGGACTGGCCAGGTCATGGCCACATGTGAAATCTCTCTCTTATTTATTTATTTTCAAAATCATTTGACGTAAGAATGACCATTAAGGGGTCAGCCTTCTCCCAAGGAACAAGCAATAGGACAACAGAAAACAGCCTCAGGCTGCGCCAGGGGTGGTTTAGGCTGGACATGAGCAACAATTTCTTCCCCAGAAGGATTGCCCAGGGCAGTGGTGGAGTCCCCACCCCTGGAGGGGTTTCCAAGCCGTGGAGATGTGGGGTGAGGGACACGGGGCAGTGGGGACCTGGCAGGGCTGGGGAACGGTTGGACTCCATGATCTGAAAGGTCTCTTCCCACCTAAACAATTCTATGATTTTCAAGAGCAAAGGTAAAAGAGAATGTTGAATTCTTTACCTGGGGTACAAGGTGTGCAGGAACAGAATCCCTGCTGATGCCTGACCTCTTCTGAACAGCACCCCTCCTTTATTTCAGCCCTGATAATATGGGTCTGCTGGACCCAGCCACCAGCGACGGCAGAGTGATCTTCTTCCTGCCCTGGGAGAAGATGACAATTGCAGGGACCACCGACAGCCCGACCGACGTGACGCCCCACCCCATTCCCACCGAGGAGGACATCAACTTCATCCTGAGCGAAGTGCGCAACTACCTCAGCGTGGACGTGGAAGGTGAGCTCCTGCCAGCCCTGCTTTGCCCTGGGAAGCTGCTGCTGGGGCGGGGTGGGGAAATGCTGCCTGGCTACAGCTCTTGTGTGACTCTGGTAACTGCAGTTCATACACATCTGGGGGTTTCTAAAACCAGTGGGATGTAAGTGTCGTCGTGGTCTGTGTTTCAGAGCTATGAGATGATGCTTTCCCTGCACCCTTGGAGTATTTAAGTAGAAATCAGTTGATGTCTGCATGTCCAAATTTCCAGTACCTTCTATAGAGCTGGCACAAGCTGTCTGGCTACACAGCAAAGTCCTTCTGCTCTCCTTGGGTGGCAGACACAAGGTTTAGCAGAACAGGGACAGTTTGGTCGTACATCAACACAAGCACATCAAAAGACTTCACCTGTTTTTCTTGAAGGAAAAGTTCTTCTGACTTTTCCCTTGTCTTTAATTTTATTTCCATTATTCTTAGAATTTACTTTTCTTGGTATGGTAAATATCCAACAGTGCCATTTTTCAGTGGGAGAGGAAATAGGCAGAAAGCAGAATGTGTAACAATTACTTGGTGACAGTTGATCCCTGCAAAAGCTGAGCTGAGAACGTGTTTGTTGTAAGCTGCTGGCTGCTCTGACTCTGCCCTGGCTTAGAGGTGAGGTCTGTGAAAGCATTTGTAGTCCTGCATTCCTGGATTGCTCTCTCACACGCTGCTCCCTCCGGCCTCCTCAGTTGGGGAGCGTAACGCGGTGTCCTGCCGCCGTGATTAACTCCTCATTTCAGCAGGTTAAACAGGCTGGCAGAGCACCATTGATTTCGGAAATCTATTTTGTGTTCTTCGGGGGATATTTTTACACCCTTTTACTGATTTTTCAATTATCATTTATTTGGAAGTTGTATAAAAAGGAAAATGCACTAAAGACTTGGGGATAAAGCAAATCCGTCAATTTCTCTATTGCAAATTTAATAAGCAACAAAATTACTTTCGTTAAATTCTCCACTGGTCTCATGGTTTGTTATTTAAAAAAGGGACTTGGTGGCTGAGGTATTTGCCTACAGCTGTTCAGGGCTTTTGTGAGTATTTGATACCTTCAGGTCTTCTTCCTCCAAGTTTTCGGAGCACTCAGCGTTGGCTTTAGGGGTCTGCTTGTACCTGGGCAGGAAGCAGAGGAGCTGCACAGGGGGCTAGTGGGCTACAGCCAACCACAACCTTACCAACCCTACAAAGACACTTTCTGCTTGTGCACGTGTGCAGCTGCACTTACAATAAAGGCTGTGGGTGAAGATACTTGTCAAGAGGGAAACTTGGAAAAATAACCCGCGAGCCAGAATAAAAAACTAAGGTCCTAGAAGCAAACGTGTGGCGCAGACTTTGGTTTGGTTTCTAAGGAGTGATGCAGGACTTGCCTGGCAGGGAGACACCATGATCAGGCAGGTGGCTTCCCAGAGCCACGGGAGGGGTACGAGGCAGACACCCCTCGGTTCCTGGCTGACTCTGCTGCTCTCTGGACAGTGAGAAGAGGAGACGTGCTGGCAGCCTGGAGTGGCATTCGCCCTCTGGTCACAGACCCCAACTCCAAGGACACGCAGTCGATATCCCGGAACCATGTCGTCACCATTAGTGACAGTGGCCTTGTCACCATAGCAGGTACTGGGACTTCTCCCAAGGAATGGCTTTGTTGGGCTTCCCCAGGATATTGTATTCAAAACCCTTCTTGCTGCAGGATAATCCTTCACATTCCTGTAATTAAATAACCGTCAGTCGTAACGTGACTGGCTTGTTGGAGAAAATCTCCTAAAACTATTGTGCTCTATAAAATGGTGCTGTAAGCACATAGAATCATAGAATCATAGGGGTTGGAAGGGACCTTGAAAGAACATCCAGTCCAACCCCCCTGCCAGAGCAGGGTCACCCAGAGTACATCACACAGGAAGGCGTCCAGGCGGGTTTTGAATGACTCCAGTGCAGGAGACTCCACAACCTCTCTGGGCAGCCTGTTCCAGTGCTCTGGCATCCTCACAGGAAAAAATTTTCCTGATATTCACCTTGAGCCTCCTCTGCTGCAGGCCTGTGGGTGCCTGGCTGGCGGGTGTGAGCAGCGTGCTGTGCTTGCAGGGGGGAAGTGGACGACGTACCGCGCCATGGCGCAGGACACGGTGGACGCGGCTGTGCGGGCGCACGGCCTGCAGGCAGGCTCCAGCAGGACCATCGGCCTGCAGCTGCAGGGGGCTGAGGACTGGAGCCCCACCCTCTACATTCGCTTGGTCCAGGACTATGGACTCGAAAGCGAGGTGAGTCCTGGTTTCTGTCGATGCTCTGGTGGGAGGGTTTTCATAGAATCATAGAATC